TTTGTGGAACGGTGGGAAAGCACATGCTATTTTTATCTCTAGGAAGCTGTTGTCTTGGCCTGATGGGGAGGAAGACCTTGTTGGATTATTCACGTTCCACATTTCCTACATAAGCACTGGGCACTGCGGCTGGTTCACGCGTCACATAATTTTGATTTTCAATAATGTTTCAGTCTTGCTCATGGGAAAAGTGGGTCAACCTTTACTCTCTGGACACTTTGTGCTTTCAGATGGAAAATCCTGACAAGTTGGCTCTTTGAGTTCACCCTGTGACTGTAAGCGTTGGGAGATGATGTCATTTCTTCTTTGATGTCTGTGCTACACTCATAGAAGTGGGGAGAGTCCAGACCTCTACGAATCTCTGAGGAGTTTCTCGTCTTTGGCCTTGCCTGTCTTTGAACATTTCTAACCCTCTTTTCATACCTCTTGTGATCTTCCTTCCCTGGTCTGTCTGTCCTGATTTGTGAGTTTCTTATTTGCCAGTTTGCATCATTCTGGATGAGACTGCGCCCCTATGAGGTCTCCCTCAGCAGCCTCCTCCCTGGCCGGTGACCGGAGATGGGACGCGGTGGTCCTTGAGCATCCTGTGGTCTCTGTGGCCACTCTCCTGGGGAAGCCCAGAAAGGCAGGCCCTAGAGCCCCAGGCGATGCCCAGAAAGTCTTGCCAAGGCAGGCCTCACGTAAGGGCGTTCCGGGAGGGTCTGAGAGGCTTTTTAGAAATCGCCTTTTTTAAGCACACTTGAATAAGGTAGAATACACATTTTAGGTATAAGCCGGTAAGTGTTTGACATATATATTTATGCCCCATGTATGCATGGTCACAATCAAGATAGCAAACGTATCCGCCCCCACTAAATCTCCTGGTGCCCTTTTGTAACCTAACAGCCTCTTCCCATCTTCACCATCCCCAGAAACCACGGATTTGCTACTATGATGGAGTAGTTTATGTTTGCTAGAATTTTATGTAGATGGTATAAAAAGTTAGTGATCCTGGGCCGGCGCCGTGGCTCAATAGGCTAATCCTCCACCTTGCGGCGCCGGCACATGGGGTTCTAGTCCCGGTCGGGGCGCCGGATTCTGTCCCAGTTGCCCCTCTTCCAGGCCAACTCTCTGCTATGGCCAGGGAGTGCAGTGGAGGATGGCCCAGGTGCTTGGGCCCTGCACCCCATGGGAGACCAGGAAAAGCACCTGGATTCTGGCTCCTGCCATCGGATCAGCGCGGTGCGCCGGCTGCAGCGGCGGCCATTGGAGGGTGAACCAACGGCAAAGGAAGACCTTTCTCTCTCTGTCTCTCTCTCTCACTGTCCACTCTGCCTGTCAAAATTAAAAAAAAAAAAAAAAGTTAGTGATCCTTTTAAGAAATCTGGCTTCTTTCACTCAGTGTTTTGAGGTTTCAGGCACACTGTGTGTGCATCAAAAGTTAGTTCTTTTTTGATTAAGGAGGAGTCTTCATTATGAAGACGTGCACTGTCTGTTTACCAGTCACCTGTTGATGGCTGGGTGGATGGTTTCCAGTTTGGGAACATAAAATAGGCTGCCATGAACAACCATGTGCAAAGCTTGATAGGGACAATGCAGTGGTGTTTCTCTTGGGTGAATACTTAGAAGCAGAATGGCTGGTAGGTATAGGGCTCACATTTTTATTTTTAAGATTTATTTTATTTATTTGAAAGGCAGAGTTATAGAGAGGCAGAGGCAGAGAGAGGTCTTTCATCTGCTAGTTCACTCCCCAGATGGGTGCAGTGTCTGGAGCTGGGCCTATCTGAAGCCAGGAACCAGGAGCCTCTTCTGGGTCTCCCACGTGGGTGCAGGGGCCCAAGCACTTGGGCCATCCTCCACTGCACTCCCGGGCCACAGCAGAGAGCTGGCCTGGAAGAGGAGCAACCGGGACAGAACCAGTGCCCCAACCGGGACTAGAACCCGGTGTGCCGGTGCCACTAGGTGGAGGATTAGCCTAGTGAGCCGCGGCGCTGGCCTAAATGGGTCTTGAGTGGTGGAGGAGGCATGTGGGGAATTTGAATATTTGGAAAATATGATTTTCTCCATTTTATCTCCTGCGCATAAAGCAAATCTCTATCTACTGTTTTACAAGTTAAAACATCCTTAAATTGGAGATGCAGAGAGATAGATGATTGATTGATTGATTGGTTCACTCCTCAGTTGTTCACAATGGCCAGGGCTGGGCCAGGAGCCAGGAGCCTGAAACAAAATGCATGTTTACCACATGGGTGGCACAAACCCAACTACTTGAGCCACCACTGCTTCCTCCCAGGGTCTGCATTAGCAGGAAGTTAGAGTCAGAAGCCAGAACCAGGAATTGAGCTCTTTTTTTTTTTTTTTTTTTTAAGATTTATTTATTTATTTATTTGAGAGGTAGAGTTACAGACAGTGAGACAGAGATACAGAGAGAAAGGTTATACAGGGAGAGAAGGAGAAGCAGAGAGAGAGAGAGAGGGAGAGGTCTTCCATCTGATGGTTCACTCCCCAGATAGCCGCAACGGCCGGAGCTGTGCCGATCCGAAGCCAGGAGCTTCTTCCAGGTCTCCCATGCGGGTGCTGGGGCCTGAGGACTTGGGCCATCTTCTACTGCTTTCCCAGGCCATAGCAGAGAGCTGGATCAGAAAAGGAGCAGCCGGGACTAGAACTGGTGCCTACATGGGATGCCGGCAGCGCAGGCAGAGGATTAACCTACTGCGCTACAGCACAGGCCCCAGAGCTGACTCTCATGTGGCCTGTGGGTATGTTAACCTCTAGGGCAAAACACCTGCTCTCTATCTTGAGGAAAATGCAAAGGACCCTTTGGTGGGCTGCAGCCTTGGGCTTTCAAGGGGTTAGAGATGCTGTGTGTCCCTGTTTGCACTCATCAGTTGTAGCTGGGAAGGAGGAGCTGCCTGGGAGGGGAGGATCAGGATACGGCTGCCTCCGAGGTTCAGTGGCGTGAGCACACGTCTGACGCTGGAAGGGGAGCAGGGTGGGCTGGGGCCCTGGGGAGTGGCAGGAGCAGGTGAGCTGGTTAGGAGCTCAGCTCCACAAGCCACAGTGCTGAGCCTGTGTTCCGGTGCGGTGCAAGGAAGGCACGGGGCCATCCGGAAGCAGCAGGGCAGCCCAGGCCCTGGGTCTGTAGGGCTCAGCCGTGAGCAGTGACTGTCTCATGGCAGCCAGGCAGGGGTGGCTTTGAGGCTCAGGGACCGGGGTTGAGGTTACCAAGAGACTATTGAAAGCCAGAGTAAATGCCAGAGACAGGAGGCCAGTTTGAGGCTCAGGAATGTGCCACCCTTAATCCCAGGGGAGGTAGCCCCGTGGGAACAGCTGGTCTCCTAGGCAGGTGGCAGGTGGGGGTCTGAGCTGTACTGATAGGAAGTGGGACATGGCTATGTGGTCGTGGGCTGGTGGAGCTAGAGGTATGTGCACGGCTCAAGAGAAAACCCAGACAGGCACTGACGAAGACACACGCATCCCATGTTGGAGTTCAGACCTGGCTCTGGCTCCAGTTGCTGCTAATGCAGGTTTTGGGAGGGAGCAGTGAGGGTTCGAGTAACTGGGCTCCTGCCACCCGTGCGGGAGACCTGGATTGAGTTCCTGGCTCCCAGTTCTGGCCCAGCCCCAGCCCTGGGCATTTCAAGCATTTGGGGAGTGAACCATTAATGAGTGCTCTTTCTCTCTCTCTCTCTGCTTTTCAAATACATGAAAATTAATGAAAAAATAACAATGCATTCATTTTGTTAGACACTTGTAAACATAGTTTTACATTTACTATTGTTAAATTTCCCAAGATTCCTTGGCTTTCATGATAAGGTCAAAGGAAATACTAGACACCTTGGCAGACTCACAAGTTGGGGGGACCTTGGGTGCGGAGAGCGGCTGAGAGAACTTAGAGACGGGGTCCCTCGGGCCGAGTCACGTAACCTCCGCTTCGCCATGGCCTCCAGCTAGCCAGTTCCTCCAGCAACCTGAAGAGCGTGCGACTCAAGGGCGGGCGTTTGGCCCCGCAGCTGAGGCCTGCATCCGTGCTGGCGTGCCTGGGTCTCAGTCCCTGCTCTGGCTCCCGACTCCAGCTTCCTGCTGATGCCTCTGGGCGGCACCGGGTGGTGGCTCACGTCGCTGAGTCCCTGCCACCCACATGGGAGGCCCGTTTTGAGTTCCTGGCTCCTGGCTTTGGCCTTGCCCAATCCCAGCTGTCGTGGGCATTTGGGAGGTGACCGAGAGGATCGGAGCTCTGCCTCTCTGCTTCTCGCTCTCTGTCTCACAGATAAAATTAAAAAGTAATTTTTAAAAACAGTGTGCCTAAAAAGTACTTGTTAGACATGGGTTGCTTCTAATCTGTAATGTGGTCAAATTGGTTTTAAAAGCACATTATTTATTTTGTGTATTTGGTTGCCTTATTTTTGGAAATTTGGTGAGCTGGACACAGCTCAAGTTCTAGAGCAATCAATGGCTGGGTTTGCATCTCAGTCCTGCTGCTTTCTTTTTCCTTTTCATTTCTCAAAAGGATTTATTTAAAAGGGGGAGAGAGTGCGTGTGCTTCCATTCCCTGGTTCACTCCCTACATGCCTGCAGCAGCTAGATGTGGGCCGAGCCAGGAGCTACATCTTGGTCTCTCACACAGGTGGCAGAGCCCAGAGTTCTTGCACTATCATCTGCTGCTTTCCCAGGCACAGTAGCAGGAGACGGACAGGAAGCAGAGCAGCTGAGACTTGGGCCAGCACTTGGATCCGGGCTGCCAGCATTGCAAGTGGTGACTTAACCCATTGAGCTACAATGCCAGCCCCAGTCCTGTGGCTGTCTATGGATGTGCACTGAGGCAAATTTCTGAGCCTCAGTGTCCTCGTCAGAGAAATGGGACTAAGCTCAGCCACACTGTGGATAAATCGTGAGATGAGCAGGAGCTCAGATGCTAGCGAAGTATCTGGGACAGAGTCAGTGCCCAGTCCGTGCTCACTCACCACGCTGCGTCCCATTTATCCCACCTGTACACGCGTGCACAGAACTCACACAGAACGTGCAAAGAGACAGACAGCCGTGTTTATTTGTCCTGCCCTTGATGGCAGCCAGTTCACAAGTGAGTGGAGAGGTCACGGTCTTCCTCCGGCGAAGCTCGTGCAGACCCCTGGCTGGGGCGGCGTGGGGAGCTGGGGCGGCGTGGGGAGCAGTGGCACGCAGGGAACCGGCGGCTGAGGGTGTTCCGCAAGGGCTCATCAAGGAGCACCCAGAGGAGAGGGGCGACGCAGCAGTGGGCAGTGGCCAGGAGTTTGGTGACCTGCACACTTGTGTGCAGGTGGGACGTGTGCTGGCAGCCGTGCAGGGAGAGGTTGTCCTTGAAGGCGGCCAGGAAGAGCGCGATGTTGTAGGGCGCCCACATCAGCAGGAAGAAGAGCGAGACGGCACAAGCCAGCTGGAAAAGCCGGTCGCCCCCAGCCCTGTGCCTCAGTGCTGTTCTCATGTGCACAAAGCAGAAAACCAGCACACACAGCGGCAGCCCGAGCACCAGGACGTTCGTCCTGAGAGCCAGAAAGCGCTGCCAGAGTGTGTCTTCCACGGGCAGGAGGTGAGGCCTGCTGAAGGAGCATGTGGGTCGCTGGCCGTCGGTCGGAGGTTTGTAGAAGATGGATTCAGGCAAGGTGACTGCGATGACGATGACCATCCAGACCAGGACGCTGGTCACGATGCTGTGCAGCCTCTTCCTGGTGGCTGAGGAACCGCATGGCCTGTGGGATGACGCCAGGTAGCTTTGCACAGTCAGAAGGGCACTGAAGCACGCCTCCCCGCAGAGGCCCACGGAGTAGAGTGCAGCGAACGCCCTGCACGTGGCGTGGTCCTCGGCCGGGGCTGTCACGGCCCAGAACAGCAGGCTGAGTGAGAAACACAGGTTCGAAAGTGCCAAGTTCAGAAAACAGGTGCTCCCCGGCTGTTTGAGGCCTTTGTATTTGACCAGGACGAGCACGAACAGGACGTTGTCCAGGAGGCCGAGCGTGAACACGGCGGAGCAGAGCAGCCGCACCAGCTGGGCCGAGAGGACCGAGGCAGCGTCCGCCTCGCATCGCGGCGTCTCGCTGCTCTCCAGGTCGCCGTCTATGAGGACGTCGTAGTCCTCCTCCGGGGCCGCCGTGCCGTTCTCCATCTCTCAGCCGCCCTGGGGAAGAAGCGAGAGCTGACTTTCACCTTCCCACAGCTGTGTCGTCCCAGAAGGAACGACAAACAGGACCGGCACCCATGTGGCCACCCCATCCCCTTCCTGTCACTTCATTTTCTCCTGACCACGTCTGTCTCTCAGAAGACGGGCAATACACGCCCCTCGGACACACGCCCCCTTGCCCAGAGCAGCTGCCCTGGGAGAAACTCCAAAAAGCTCATGGAAAGTAGGTTTTGTTTCAGTTCAGGAAATTTTGAAATCCACACACAACTTTTTTTCATAATCCACATTTTCCATGAACTTTTTGAAGACCCCTGGTACTCCGTCCACTCATTCACCACCTGGTACTCAGGGTGCCAGGTACAGTGGCAGTGACAGCAGGTGCGACGCTGGCTTCCCAGAAGGACTTGTCCACTTGACGACAGCGTGCCAGAGAACTCACCCCACCCAGGAGAAACAAGCAATGCGGCTCAAGTTCAAGGCACTGGCATAGGTCACAACTGCTACGTGATTAAAAGGCGTGCTCACCCCCTTGCGACAGCTTCCTGTGTGTGACAGGCTATTTTCCTCTCCAAGCATCTAAACAAGCGCTTGCAAAAGTGAAACCGCACCAGGCGTCCACACGGGCACAGCTGGTGAGGGTCGGTGATGACTTACCCCCTGACCACGTTCCTGGGGGGCAGGGCGCAGCCGTGAGAATGTTTGGGCCCGGGGAAAGCCAGCTTCCTTCTTGGGCAGGCTGCTCCTGGCCCCGAGGAGTGAGAGAAACCACTGCCCACTCCCCTAGTGGCTCTGCCCAATCGTCACAGACTCACAGACCAGCTGAGGTCAACAGAGTTCCGAGCTGCTCAGCCCTCTGCAGTCCCTCGGCAGCCTCTGCGAGCAATGGGGAAGTTGCTTTCTCCTCCCCCTGCCCTGCACCCCCCCCTTTGATTTCTCAGTGGCCCCAGTCAGCTGTCCTGTCGGCTGCCGGAGATAAGCGAGCCGAGTCCCTCTGTTCCCAGCGATAGCAGGGCAGTGATGTCAAGGGGCCGCCGAGTCGCACTTCTGATGCGGCCGGGAAGATGCCCAAGGTCAGCACAAGTGCAGACCTGGGGTCCTGGCCCTCAAGGGCAGTCAGTCACTGCCAGAGGCGAGCACCTGCTGTGAACCCCATGGGGCGCAGCGTGGGCGTGGGTTCACGGTCATTTCTGACAGGCACCGTGTGTTCTGGCCAAGGGGTGGGGTCTCCAGTGAGGATTTTGGGACCACTGAAGCCATGGCATGACGGCCCTTGGGGTGGGGACGGGGCAGAGACGGGGACCCATGCCAGGGAGTGGAAGATGTTGAGATACTGAGGAACACAAGCAGTTTTGCAAACATCCAGGAGCTGGGACGCTTGGGGGGAGCTGAGCCCGCTCTGGGAGGGGAGCTCAGACGGGGAGAATCCCGGGGTGGTGACCCAGGCGACACCAAGCCAGGCAGGGAAGGAAGACGCGTTGCACCCCAACCTGGGGCCGGGGTTGGGGGCAGATAGCAGGCTAGAGAGAAAGGAAAACAGAACTAGTGGGCAAGGGGACAGCAGAAGGTGGGTGTGGTTTGCAAGCAGGGTGGAGGGGAAGAGGAACTTGGAAGAACTGGAAAGTTCTGGATGCACTCCTCTCAGGTCAACGGCTCTTTGTAGCTGAACTTGACCTAGTGTGCGGACCGGCTTCTCCATGGGCTTGGCATTTACATCACTGGTTAAGTCACATCCGTTTTGTGCCAAAGTGTTTGAAGTAGCTTTCAATACAGAACGTGTCCTGTGGAAATAGGAGTGAGGCGACCCTTCAGAGGAGAGGGACACCAAAGGGTCCAGACAAGCATGCGATCGGGCAGAGCGCTGAACTCCCAGCGAACCGACAGCCGCGGCAGGAAGGGAAATGCTGGGAGGGTGCGGGTGGGAACCCGGGCTGCCACTGCTTCCCAGAGGGCCCCCCCCTCGGGCCCAGCGTGGGGCGTCTGTGAAGCTCTGCCCACCCGCTGGTGGTAGCCACAGCCAGGGGTCAGCAGTGTCCTGCCTCCTGGGTCTCTCTGCCTCCTGCAGCTGGGCTACTTGGAGCCACACTGAGACCCTAGGACTTTGAGTGAGTTGGGGGAGAATGACTCCTGCATCGGGCAGTCCCAAACAAGGGAGGGTCCGGTCAGCCCACGAATTCACGCACTGCACGTGACAGAGTCACGGTCCGAGGGAAGTTTCCCCGAGAAAAACACTGTTTGTCAATTCAGGGTCTTTCCAGATTCCTGCTGTTTGTTCAGTGGCTGTTTTATTTTGGTTTCATTCCTGACATCCTGCCTACTCAGGCTCAGGTCACGGGATTCTTGAAAGTTCTTCCACGTGGGTGGGAAGGAGACGTTTAGAAGCCGAGGCACAAGGGAAGTTCCACTTGTCCGTGCCAGTGTCTGCAACCCTGGTAAGGCCGCTCTTGCTGGAGAAGCCGCACTGTGTTCGGTGGCCTTGCTGTGTGGCTCACAGCCTTGCCCAGCACCACCGTCAGTCAACCCCAGCTCAGTCTAAGAAACCACCGCTTCACACCCCACTCCCCAAACAGGCAGGCCGCTCCTCTATGTAACTCAACACATGGAGACAGAGCAAGCCTGCCATGCCTCCCGTCTGTTCGAGGAGCTCGGGGGTGCATCGTGGACAACACAGACCAGTGTGCCAACATTCATGGAGCTCACACTCCATAGACAAAACAAGTACACAGATTGGAGGCCGTAGGAGAAGAGTTGTGGGGAAAAGCAATTTGGGGAAGGAGAAGCAGAAGGGCCGGGGGAGTTGGAGGGGGGCGCATCTTGAGCAGGGAGTCAGAGAAAGCCTCGCTGAGAAGATGGGAGTGGAGGCAGAAAGCGGTTAGGCCTGAGGGTTAGCGCCCACTCTCTCAGTCTTCCTTGTAACTGAGTTCTCCTATCAGGGAGGTGCAAATGCACACGGCTGGTAACTCGGGCAGCAAGTGCACCGGTGATGCAGGGACGTCCTTCATGTTATATTGACGCTCAATACAAAAAGCAACAGATGCGAAGCCCCACTTTTTCAAGCGTTGTCTTGCAGCTCCTAACCCACTCTTCTTTGTTTTGCTGTGTGATTCCAGAGCTGGGCCCCCCGGGAGGCCCCCGTGAGAGGCTGGGGCTTCTTCTGCTTCCAGGACTTGATTGGATCCTCTTCTGCTTTTGCTATCTGGACACCAAGACAGGCAGCCTCCTAGTGGATGTTGCTGGCGTCCCAGGAATGGCTTCCGAGACGACAGGGGCATGCCGGAGACCGAGGGCATCTGTGCTTCTGTGAATCTCACCGGTGCCCCTTCTGGCGGTTTCCTGCTCACCAAGTCCAATCTGCAGGGACTCAGCAGACTTGGTGGCCACCAGGGGCTCCCAAGGGTCTCCTCTCCAACACTGGCTGCATGCACCTGGGACGGAGGGCGCCACCACGTTTGTTCCATCCTTGGTCTTTGCCTCAGCCCAGAGGCAGCGGCTGCTCCTGCACCTGCAGCTCCTGGACCCTGTGAGTTCTTATTCCCTTTAGTAGTTGCCCCCGTTTTGTTAGCTTTTAATTCCTCACACTTAACGTTCATTGCTTGAATGACTGATGGGGCATCTGTGTCTTGCCGGAAAGCTGATGGACACACACACTGAGTTCAGTGCGGAGATGGGAGCGTGCTGGGGAAATGCATGCCAGCCTGAGGGTGCTTTTCAGAGAGCTAACTTGATGTTGAGAAAGGGGCACCAGAATTGGAGCACCTCCATCGATCCTTGGCAGTGCTGCTTCAAACACAAGTTCTCTCAAATTACTTGTCATCTGTTTCTATCACTTTAGTTTTTATTAGCAAATATTACAAAATTACCATTTGGAAAGGGCAGAAAAAAAATCGGAGTGATATTCCCAAGTAACAGCTGTTATCATTTTAATTAGCACTGCTTGTTAGTGGAAAATGTACAGAAACGACTTGTAGAGAGCAGTCGACTTCCTGGTGGATTGGTGGCTTGGTAGTGAAGGGCCAGACACCCACACGCTGTCATTTAAGGGATTCTGGGAAAGGCTCATCTTGTTCCTGAATTTCCTTCCATATGCTTGCTAACACCTGCAATTCCACCTTCTGGCTTAGCCCTCACAGAGCAGGGATGCCTGGGCGGGCAGTGGGGGGCAGCCAAAGGGAGGTGAATCTTCTAAAATGCATTTGCCTTAGGAGTCGACGGTGGGTGTACAGATCTGCTCTGTGCGTCCTGGGAGCAACGTTGTGACCTGGCCCCACGGCGGCCTTTCTCAGGTGTGTGCAGTTGCTCCGTCTCTAGTCTGCTGCTAAGGCCCTGCAGGCCCAGAACGGTGCCAGGTGCTGGGGAAAGGTGCAACAGCCATGCACACCCGTTCTCTGCCCTCGAGGCCTTGAGACCTTCGGGGCAGATGGCCAGGGATGTGATTGATGGTGACCCAGGGAGGCGTGGGCTGGGAGCTGCGGGAGCAGTGACCGAGGGCACCTGGCCCAGTCCTGGAGGCGCCAGGGCAGGTGTCGGGGAAGGTTCCCCGGCGTAGGTGCCATGGGTCTTGAAGCCAGGTGAGCCATGCATGGGCCTCTTCTCCTCTCTCCTTGGCCCTCCCAAGGTTCTTGCTCAGGCTCAGGAGGGACCATCTCCTTGTCTCTCAGCTGGGCCAGGGCAGGGACGGCCACGCAGCTCAAGGTGCTGACACTTTGCTCCTGATTAGCACCTGAGACTGATTTTCGGCAGAAGAGGAAATTGAAACCATGAACCAGATAATTTGAGATTGAATTCCAATCCAGGGCTCTGGGAGGGAGAATTTGTGCAGCAGGTGTGCTGGACTGGGGATGGGCGTGGGGAGAGGCTGCCCACAGCGTGGTCATGACTGGGGCCTTAGCTGATCTTAGAGGAGCCCTGAGCGGGGAGGGCCTTTCCGAGGGTCCTGGAGCTGGGAGAGGGGCCAGGCCTCTGGGATCCCGCATCACTGAGTCACTGGCCTCAGCTCAGGGAGGGAAGGGTTGCAGCTGAGTGACAGCGCTTGGGTGCCCAGTGGTGCCCATGGGTGCCCTGGCTGTACTGACGCTGAAGAGGGTGTATGGACAGAGTCCCACAGCATCCACCTTGTACGCAAGCAAGCCTTCTAGACTTCCTACACATTTCGTTTACCCTCAGTGGCAGGAAATAGAAACTGACATTTTCAAAGCCACCGTGTTGTAAAACCATGGAACCCACAGTGGGGCTTCTGCACACAGGGAGGAAGTCATGTGCACAGCAAGGCCTCGCTGGTTACTCACCCATTGTTGTCAGCGAGGACGGGAGGGCCAGAGGGGAACTGGAATGTCCCTTCCAGCCCCACTCCTCGGCCCTCCCTGCCTGCCTGGTCAGCCCCCGTGCAGTTGTCACGGACTGTCCCGTGTCATCAGCAGGTGAGAAACATTTGGGGCGGGTGCTTCCCCAAGTGGTTCTCTTGGGCCCTGGTGGGAGCTGCGTAGGCTCTGCCTCCCCCTGCTGGGCTCCCCCAGGGATGGCCCCCGAGGCTGCACAGCCACTGCCTTCCAGGGCCCCAACCTCTGAGGTCGTGTTTGGAGCCCGCCCGCTATCCGGCACAGCATGCTCCACCCCAGGCTCCTTCCTGTCTCAAAGGATTCAGCCACTCCTAGAAAGGGGCTTGGACGTCTTCCCAGTGAGCCAGGAGCCTCCAGCCACTCCCAGGGCATCCAGCACAAAAGGTTATGCTTTATGAGGCCAAAAGTTAGGCTTTTCTCAGCGGGGAGGGGGAGGACAAGCCTGTCTCTTAGGCTCCTTGGCTGTGAGAGACCAGGCGTTTGGGCATTTGGCCACTCTGATGCGTCTTGGAGTCCAGGGGTGTTTTCCCCGCCCTTGTCTATCTTGCTT